TGTGTCCGAGCGTGTGTGGTGTGTGTGTGTTTTGTTTCTGTCGTGTTGTATGTGACTTTGTCCTTCTGACAGTCGTGTGAGTCTCCGTGCATGGAACGTTCGCTTCCACGCGCCGCGCAGGTGAGCGCCTGGCCCCGGCTCGATGGAGTTGGGGGGGGGGTGCAAAGCAAGGTTCATCACGTGGAGAATTAAGGTGGTGCCTCCAAACCCCTAGCGGGCGACCCCTAAAAAAAACCCGCGTACTCTGCGCGAACCCCTCGGCGCGTACCCGATGACATTCGTGTGACTAACGTTGACTGACGCGAGGCCGATACGCCCGGGGTGTGTAAGCGCTTATTTATTTATTTAGCCCGTCGCGGGGAGGGGATCGCGAGAGAGAGAGAGATGGCTGTTATTTATTTATTTGTGTACCTGGCAGGAGACGAAAATAGCGCGCGGGGGGTCTCCGCCCGTCACGTCGTGCGCGCGCGTCCGGAGACGCGCGGCGTTAATTGTCTCCCCGAAGAGAGCGCGCGGGGCGTGGGGAGGGAGGTGGGGGGGAGCATGGGGGGGGGGGGGTGAATACACACACATGTACACACACATGTACACACACATGTACACACATATCCGCCCGCTCGTATACTCACAGACTCGGTCATGTGCGGAGACGCACACGCGCGCATACTCGTCAACACACACACAGCCCTCCCCCGGCGAGCTCTGATGAGACTGCGCTGCGTCATCTTCGACCCCACGTCTGGCCTCTGGTACCGCTTTATCGGCCGCCAGGGCGCCCGTGAGCGCGTGAGGTATGCGGCGCGCGTGCGTTTCAGCGTTTGGGTCTCCCAGGAGTCCGCCGTGTCGCGCGCGTGTGTCGCTGTTCAGGCGGTGGTGGTGGTGGTGGGGGGGGTGCGACGCGGGAGCCGCGCGGATCGAATGGGAATGCGAATTGGAACGCAGAGGGAAGCGGAGCAATCAGATTGGGGATGGGTGAGCTGGAGGGGGGGGGGCACCGGGGGAGGGGAGGGGTGCCGGGTCGGGTCGGGAACCGGCGCCAATTAGAGGCTGATTGAATGAGCGCCGAGCGCGTGACGCCCGGAGGAAGGCGAGGGGGAGGGGAGCGCGGGGAGGGGGGGGGGCCCTGGAGGTTGGAGGAAGGGGATGGGGGGATGGGGGCGGGGGGTCGGGAACCCGATAGCGCACGCGGGGTCGCGGCAACAGACGCGCAATTTTAAACCGCGCGCACACGCACACGTCGACACACAAAGACGCACGCGCACACAGCCGAACATGATACATACGGACAGAGTCTCATCACACATACGCACGCTCCAGGCAGGCTCACTAACTCACACACGTGCAAAAAGACGTACACACGGGCGCTCTGGAACACAACAACAATAACAGCTGGTGCTCGCCACTAAATGATTGCGACGTGACCGCCGCTCTTGTGCCAGGCTATATGCACTTTGAACCTACGTTAGTTTTTTGTGTTCCTTTGGTAGAAATCATTTATGGACGGAGGGGTTTCCGACACGAGAGCTACTCTAACACACAAATCGGACAAAGGTCCCCCGTTTAGTCTTAACGGACTGTTGGGGCAAGTGCTGTTAGCGAGCACCTATGAAGGCTGGAACGGCACACGAGGGGGTGGGTGGCCAACACCACGCCCGGCCGCCTTTGTCTCCCCAGTGGTGTTTACACATCTCACCAGGTATTCGTTTGAGGCTAAGTCGACGTCGGGGAGGCCCATACACACTCTCACACTCGCCGCTGCCAAACCCCACGCCAGCAGGCGCATTGTCAACGTCTGCGGGAAATGAACAAAGCGCTCCGTGGGATGTAAAACAAAATGAAACTAAAAGTGGACGTCGACTTGCCGGAGTGCCATTCGAGTGAATTCCCGAGTCGAAATTCACACGAGGCTTCATCGTTCCGCATATTTGGGTGGTGGTGGGGGGGGGACTTGTTTACGATCGCAATCAGCGGGGAGAATTGACGAATTCTCACTCAGATCGCAATCAGCTGCCCCGTCGATCTGTCTCTCCACAGCCTTTGTGTTTTGGCGATGGACGCACACAGCGGGGAGGGAGGAGACGGGGAGGGGGGGTGTTTTCGCGAAAAGAAATTCAATGAGAGAAAAGAGAGGAGTGTGGGGGGAGTGGTGGCCTCGTAATGATCGCTAAAGTAATTATTATAACCCCGATCTCCATTATAAAAGTATAATGATCGGATTTGTTGGCGTTGTAATGTTTTAAAAGAAAATGTTTAATATCAGCCCCGTCGTCCGTCGCTCCCTCCGGACGTGACATCCTGCCTGCCAGCCATACAGCCAGCAAAACTTTCGTCGAATATACTTATCAATAGCATGTATATATATTTATTTGTAACCAAGTGAAAGCTAGCTCAACGAGCAGATGAGTTTGTCTCGCAATGGCAACCTAGCTTGACTCGAGTGTGAGCGAAAGAACAACAAATTATGTAACAAAAAACTCATCTTTATATTGTGTATAAATAACGAATGTCAGTAAAGCGACTAAAATCATCGCCACTGGCGTTGGTGACCGTGAACGGGAGCCGACCTCGGGTCAGCGGGTTCGTAGGGCAGCGCGCTGACCTCTACACCACCGCTTTCTAGGTACACACATCCACGCGCACACAGAGGCGCGTGACCATTCAATGCGCTGGGCACGCGTGTGCGAGCGAGGTGTGTGTATGCATGTCTTCGTAGAGAATGTGTGCGAAACGAGAGAGGGTATATCTGCAGGTCATCTCAGTCAGTCAACGCATCGTACTTGAGGTCTGTGCCGTGACCACCTCCTGTCTGCAGCGAGCCTTCGACACTTCACACGATATCCTCAAGGTGCACTTAGCCTGGCACAAGCGCCGTGTTGACGGAATCGTGCGTGAGCGCGTGCACGTTTTACGTGGCCATTCTGCCGCGTGTAAGCATGTTGAACTTCTTTCGCACCGTACGTAGCCAACCGTGCCAATCGGAGGCGCGTACGAGTTGGTATACTACACACCGGCGGTACGCAATCTGTCTGCGCGTACGTGTGTACGCACGCGCGCACCGTGGGAGGATTGCTTTTGGAGAGGAGGTAGAGACAGAACGGGCTGCGTGCGTGGAGGCTGTGGGGCGGGGGTGGAATGGATGTGGGAGGGAGAGAGGAGGAGGAGGGGGGGGGGATACGGGGGAGCGAAGCTGCGCATGAAATTTATGGCTGCGCGGCCGCGAGCCCCATTATCGCGCGCGGCGTTATCACTCGCGCGCACCCCCCGCGGCCCCGCCCCCCGCCCCCCGCGGCCCACGTCCTCCCCCACCATCACGCTCGCGCGCGCGCTTAACCCGTGCCGCGCGCGACCGGCGAGGCCAGGCGCGAGCGCGCATGCGCACAGCGCCTCTCCACATACGGGAGAGACGCTCTCACACAGACAGACACACACAGACAGACACACACAGACAGACACACACAGACAGACACAGAGACACCACCGCGGGGAGAGAGACATGCAGGGACACGCGCGAAGAGAGCCAGACATACGGAGACACGCAAGGGACACGCACACACACGAAGAGACACGTTTACAGCCACGCAGAAACATATACACGCGTATACACATCGACGCAGACATGTATACTCACAAAGACACGCACATAGACGCACAGCAAAGGGTAGCAGAAAGATACTAAGAAAAGACAGACACAAATAAACCAGACTTACACAAATAGAAAATTTCACATACACAACGAGACACACACACACCACAGGACACACACACAATAGCATACACACCACAGGACACACACACAATAGCATACACACCACAGAACACACACACAATAGCATACACACCACAGGACGTACACACACACTCACACACCACAGGACACACACAATAGCATACACACCACAGAACACACACACAATAGCATACACACCACAGTACACTCACACAATAGCATACACACCACAGGACACACACACAATAGCATATACACCACAGGACGCACCCCTCAGCGCGCACGGCATTCAATCGGCCCGGGGTAAATTGCGTAATTTCCCCGTGGCGGGGGGAGTCGGCGGGGTCAGACCTCTCGGCCCAGCTGGGGCGAGGCGCTCTGAGCGAGGCTTTATGAAAGGTGGCGGTGGTGGTGGTGGTGATAATAAAAACACGCACCCGCACGCACACACAGACACTGCTCAAACACAAACAGACGCGCGCACACACGCAAATACCCCCCCCCCCCCCCCAGGGCCTTCACAGACTGTTGGGGCAAGTGCTGCTGGCACTTATGAAGGCCCGCACGGGGGCGGGTTGTCAGCATCACGCCCAACTGCCTTTGGCTCCCCAGTGGCGATGTTTACACACCGCATCGGGTACTAATTTGAGGCTGAATCGACCTAGGGGAGCCCCAGGATTGGTTCAGAATTTCGTAGCGCAACGGGAAAACGACTGCGCCACCGGACACGCGCGCAAACAAGAGGCGTTCAAACACCGCGCACAAAACAAAGACACAGATTCCTCCCCACCCCCGGATAGGTTTTTACCAAACTGCTGTGGCAAGTGCTATCAACGAGCACATATTAAGGCCCGAACCACGGCGAACACACACACACACTCAAACACGCACACACACACACTCAAACACGCACACACACTCAAACACGCACACACACACACTCAAACACACACACACTCAAACACACACCCAAACACGCACGAGCGCACAAACACCACTGTCCTTGCAAACACCACCAGCGGCCACACGCGACCCGCGTGTACACGCGACACGTCAAGGACGCAGCAGTTGCGGACGCACGACTCGTGCACACCGCTGCCGCCACGTGTCCGCGACGCGGGCACCAGTGAGCGCGCGCTCACGGCGGAGTGAAGGTCACCTCGCGCACACGAGGCCGCGCAGCCGCTGTATAACGTGACCCTGGCGCGATCCCAGCACCACCCCCAGCTCCCTACTCACGGCCCTGTTTGTCTCTCTCGCTCGCTCACTTTAGGTTGAGGATACAAGTTCGCGTCAAGACTCCGTGCCATGGGGACTCGCGTCGACTCTGCTCGCTCCACGCCCGCCGCCACATCGCCCGTGGCTTAACGCGAATAAAGAAAGAAGAGAAACTCCAACGACCCATCGACCCCGACCACCGTCGCAAGGTCGCCGGCCTATCTTCACCGTCACCATAAGCGCCATCAGCGTCATCGTCCACGCCGCGGCACTGCCTGCCATGGCGCAGTCCACCAAGGTGTACGACCTCTCGAAGCGCAAGAGCCAATCGTCTCTGGACAAGCCCACGCTGCGGGAACACGACGCGCTGGGCTACGCCGAGATGGCCTTCGACGCGCTCGGCTTCGGCAAGCAGCAGTACGCGTGCGCCGTGGAGGCGTTCGCGAGGGACGGCTTCCTAATGAAGGCCCGCGGCGCGCACGCGGCCGCGCTCGCCGGCGGCGGCGGCATGGCCGCGCTGCACGCGAGCGGCGCCTACCTGGGGCCCCACGCGCTCTTCCCGGGAGTGGGCAGCGGAGCGGCGGGCGGCTGCATGAGCGACCACATGGTCATGGTGTCCAAGCCCATCCCCATGCTGCCCGTGCCCATTGGACAGTCCTTCGTGCACATGGTCCCCTACCTGTCGCGCGACGCGCTGCTCCCGGCCGCCGCGGCCGCGGCGGCCGCGGCGGCCGCCGCCGGCCACGGGTCCCTGCAGTCGGACAACGCCAGCAAAGCGGCGGCGGCGGCGCACGCCCTGCTCAGCTGCGGGCTGCCCATGACCCCCGGCGACATGCTGGGCCCCAAGGGCATGCTGCTGCGCCTCGAGCTGCCCTCCATGGTGCACGCGGCCGCCGCGGCCGCGGCCGCCGCCGCCTCGTCCATGTCCTCGCCGGGAGTGGGCTCCTCGCCGTCCGTCTCGCTGCCCCCGCACGCGCACGCGCACACGCCGCGGCCCAAGCAGGGCTCGTCGGGGCAGCAGCAGCAGCAGCAGGCGGCGGCGGTGGGGGGCATCCAGCAGCACCCTCCGCCCGCGGGGCTGCCCCAGGGCAGCGCCTTCCAGCTGGCGGGCAACGAGACTCTCACGGCCATCGCCGAGGCCGGGCCCGGGGCCGCGGGGGTCGTGGGCGGCGCCGGGCTGGGCGGGCTGGGCCTCGTGGCCGGACCCGGCGAGGGGGCCTCGTGCGCCGTGAAGCGCGCGGCGGGGCCCGGACCGCACTCGTCGGCGGGCGGCTCCGCCTCCTCCGTGTCGGCCGCCAAGAAGAAGCGGAAGCGCTGCGGGATCTGCCCGCCGTGCCTGCGGCGCCTCAACTGCGGCGAGTGCCGGAGCTGTAAGAACCGGCGCACGGGCCACCAGATCTGTAAACTGCGCAAGTGCGAGGAGCTCAAGAAGAAGCCGACGGCGTTCGCGGAGGTGCGTGGTGGTGGTCCCCGCTGGTCCCCGCTCCCTGCTCCCATCTCCGTGCTCCTCTATCTATCTCAGGTCCGCTGTCCGTGTCCCCCCCCCCCCTTCTCTCTGGTCCCCACCTCCTCACTCGCACCTCGTTGTCACCCAGATGCCTCTCTCCGAGCCTCCTCTCGATGTTCAACTCTCACTGATTCACCCCCCCCCCATTCATTTCTCTTCCATCTCCCCTCTTCTTCTATATTTTCTCTGTCACTGCCTCTCCGTGCCCCTCTTCCTCTCTATTGCCCCATGTCTCTCCTTCTCTTCTCCACCTCTCCGTGACCATCCCTTTACTTTCCTTCTTAGTCGTATGTCCCCGTGTTTTCCCTCTCCCCCTCTCTCTCATTGTCCATCTCCCTACCTCGTTTCTCCCTCACCCCACTCTCCAAAATTCTTATTCCGCGTTCGTCGCATTGCACGAGAGAATGGAGTGCGCTTGAGATGTAGAAGTGGAGAAGCTGCTGCTGCTGCTGCTGCTGCGTGCGAGTGATTCTGCATGCGCAGCGCTCCTGTCAGGGCGTCTGTTCAGAGCAAGGCCCTGTCCGAGATGCACACTTGAGGGTCGCGTGTTGGTTGGGGTGAGGCTTACATAGCTCTGGTTGGCATTAGGGTCACCGCTAAGATTGTTTGCGTCACGCCTGGGAGATCATTGTTGATACACACGCGCGCGTTTGTATAGCGTGTCGTATCGTCACTCTTTCTCAACACACTACCACATGCGTTATCACAGCCCCCGCCCCCCTCCACACACACACCGCTGGAGTCACAAGACAAAGATCCCCAGTGGAGCCTTTGACAGACTGTTGGGGCAAGTGCTGATTAGCGAGCACCTATGAAGGCCAGCACGGCACACGAGAGGGTGGGTGGCCAGCACCACGCCCGACCGCCTTTGTCTCCCGATGACTGATATTTACGCAGCGAACCATTTACTAATATAAATCTTAAGGGAGTCCCACAACTGGTTCTGATAATCGTCACCGTTGTTGGCCGTGATCGGGAATCAAACTCGCACAACACACACACACGTACACCCGCCCCCTCGCCCTTCAATGCCCCCCCCCCCCTAGCCCCCCCCCCCCAAGCCTCCCCCCTCTGCCGTCCCGCACGCCGCGTTCCGCAGTAACTGGAAGCACGTGGCCGGGTAACGAGCGAGGCGCAGGTGACGGGCGCGGGGCTCCAACCGCCCCGGGTGTAACCCCCCCCCCCCCCCGCGCCACGACTCCACACGCAGCCCCCCCGCACCACCCCCAACCCCCCACCCCACCACCCCCCCCCCCACCACAGCCGCCCCCAACAGCCCAGCCGGGGGGTCCCGTCCATGCGAGGCGCACACGAGGACACGAACGCACGCACACACACCGCACGTATACACACACCGCACGTACACACACCGCACGTACTAACACACCGCACGTACACACACCGCACGTACACACACACCGCACGTACACACACCGCACGTACACACACCGCACGTACACACACCGCACGTACACACACCGCACGTACACACACACCACACGTACACGCACCGCACGTACACACACCGCACGTACACACACCGCACGTACACACACCACACGTACACACACACCATACGTACACACACCACACGTACACACACCGCACGTATACACACACCACACGCACACGCACCGCACGTACACACACCGCACGTACACACACCACACGTACACACACACCACACGTACACACACCACACGTACACACACCACACGTACACACACACCACACGTACACACACCGCACGTACACAGACCGCACGTACACACACCGCACGTACACACACCGCACGTACACACACACCACACGTACACACACCGCACGTACACAGACCGCACGTATACACACCGCACGTACACACACCGCACGTACACACACCGCACGTACACACACACCGCACGTACACACACCGCACGTACACACACCGCACGTACACACACACCGCACGTACACACACACCGCACGTACACACACACCGCACGTACACACACACCGCACGTACACACACACCGCACGTACACACACACCGCATGTACACGCACACCGCACGTACACGCACACCGCACGTACACACACCGCACGTATACACACCGCACGTACACACACACCGCACGTACACACACCGCACGTATACACACCGCACGTACACACACTGCACGTACACACACCGCACGTATACACACCACACGTACACACACCGCACGTACACACACCGCACGTATACACACACCGCACGTATACACACACCGCACGTACACACCACACACCGCACGTACACACGCACCGCACGTACACACGCACCGCAGGCACACACACACCGCACGTACACACACCGCACGTACACACACACCGCACGTACACACACACCGCACGTACACACACACCGCACGTACACACGCACCGCAGGCACAATGCACGCGGTTTGCCTCATGACGAGGCGACTCCGCAGCGGGGAAGCAGCAGGCGGAGCGGGGCTAATGGAGCGGGTGATGGGATGTGCGTGGGTGTTTGTGGTTTGTGGTGGTGGTGGAGGGAGCGGGGAGGGGGGGGAGGACAGAGCGGCCCCGCCGTGTTTTGTCGACTCGTGCCGCCGCGTGACGGAGCGGACACGGGAACGCGAGGCGAGATCGCGGCGAAGCGGGAAAATAAAATACCCGCGCGCACGTACACACAGAGTACACACACACACAGAGTACACACACACCTACACACAGAGTACACACACACCTACACACACAGAGTACACACACACCTACACACAGAGTACACACACACCTACACACAGAGTACACACACACAGAGTACACACACACCTACACACAGAGTACACACACACATACACACAGAGTACACACACACAGAGTACACACACACCTACACACAGAGTACACACACAGCTACACACAGAGTACACACACACCTACACACAGAGTACACACACACCTACACACACAGAGTACACCCACACCTACACACAGAGTACACACACAGTACACACACACCTACACACAGAGTACACACACACACAGAGTACACACAGAGTACACACACACCTACACACAGAGTACACACACACACAGAGTACACACAGAGTACACACACACCTACACACAGAGTACACACACACCTACACACACAGAGTACACACACACCTACACACAGAGTACACACACACCTACACACAGAGTACACACACACACAGAGTACACACACACCTACACACAGAGTACACACACACCTACACACAGAGTACACACACACCTACACGCACAGAGTACACACAGACCTACACACAGAGTACACACACAATACACACACACCTACACACAGAGTACACACACACAGAGTACACACACACCCACACACAGAGTACACACACACACAGTACACACACACACCTACACACACACTATACACACCCTACACACAGACTACACACACCACCTATACACACCCTATACACACAGAGTACATACACACCTACACACAGAGTACACACACACAGAGTACACACACACCTACACACAGAGTACACACAGAGTACACACACACCTACACTCAGAGTACACACACACAGAGTACACACACACCTACACACAGAGTACACACACAGAGTACACACACACCTACACACAGAGTACACACACACCTACACACAGAGTACATACACACACAGTACACACACACACCTACACACACACTATACACACCCTACACACAGACTACACACACACACCTATACACACACAGAGTACACACATAGTGGGTAGTCAGCGCAGCGCCCGACCGCCTTTGTCTCACACAACGCACCGGGAACTCATTGGGGGCATCGTCGACCATTGCCACTGGGGTTGGCCCCGAGCGGGAACTCGGGTCGCTGGGTTCGTAGCGCAGCGCGCTGACCGCTACGCTACCGCCCCCCGCACACACTCGCACACTCACACACTCACTCACACGCACACACACACTCACACACACACACACTCACACACTCGCACACTCACACACGCACACACACACACGCACACACACACTCACACACTCACACGCACACTCACACGCACACACACACACTCACACGCACACACACACGCACACACACACACGCACACACACACGCACACGCACACAAAGACAAAGATCCCCCGTATAGCCTGAACAGACTGTAGGGGCAAGTGCTGTTAGCGAGCACCTATGAAGGCCGGAACGGTACACGAGGGGGTGGGTGGCCAGCACCACGCCCGACCGCCTTTGTCTCCCTAGTGGCGATGTTTACACACCGCACCAGGTACTCATTTAAGGCTGAGTCGACCTAGGGGAGGCCCAGGACCGTTTCAGATAATCGTCACTGGTGTTAGCCGTGAGCGGGAATCGAACCCGGGTCGCCAGGTTCATAGCGCAGCGCGCTAACCGCTACACTACCGCTCCCCACACACACACTCACACGCACTCACACACTCACACACACTCACACACACGCATGCTCCCGTGTCCCCCCGCGGTGCCTGGCCCACTCCATGAGTCCTGAGTTAGAGGTTCGGACTCCCGCTGTACCCACTGCTAACTCAATAACTTAGTAAGTAGCTCACTGTGTTGGTAATGACTCACAATGAACTAACTCACCAACTACCAACGAGCTGATATAAAGATGATTACGAGCTAGCTTTTAACCAGCTCCTACTATACTAGTTCACAATCAAGTTGCTCCTGATGATAAACTCGTTAACTATCTCACCACTAACGATCTCCTAACTCTACCCTGCCGAGGAGCGACGCCGGGGTCGTGACACGGGATGTCTCCCCTCTCTCCCCGCGGGCTTGAGTCGCCACGTCGCCCCGGGGGTGGGGTGGGGGGGGGTCGAGGGGTTCGTCTTGTGGAGGGGAGCGGGCGAACTGGCGACGGTTCCAAGGGACGGGGAGGGGAGATCATCCGTCTCTGTCACGGGGGGCGGAGGATGTCCCGTGGGCTTCCCGCAACTAACGCGCCTCCAAACCTCGTAGCTCGCAGGGGCGTAACGAAGCGGTGAACTCAGTTCTATTCCGAAGCTCGCGATATATTAACCGCAGTGTGAACAAGGATCTATGATTGAATCAAGGTAATTAAAACGCGTTGAAATGTTAATAGTTCGTATGGAACGCAGAGCTGACGCCAAACAGGATCCGCTCGTCGCTGTCGTTGGGAGGGAGAGGACGACTCAGAGAGAGAGAGGACGACTCAGAGAGAGAGAGGACGACTCAGAGAGAAAGAGGGGGCGACTCAGAGAGAGAGAGAGGACGACTCAGAGAGAGAGGGGGGCGACTCAGAGAGAGAGGACGACTCAGAGAGAGAGAGGACGACTCAGAGAGAAAGAGGGGGCGACTCAGAGAGAGAGAGGACGACTCAGAGAGAGAGAGGGGGCGCGACTCAGAGAGAGAGGACGACTCAGAGAGAGAGAGAGAGAGAGAGGACGACTCAGAGGTGCTAGGAGGAGGGGACCACAGGTGAGGAGCGGTAAGGGCAGCAGCAGCAGCATCCATGCGGTGATGAGCCGGCGGCGATACCAACAATTGCCCACGCTCTGTAGCCCTCTACATAGTAAAGTGTTACCGGCCAATTAATTCGTTGATCGCGAGTAGAGGGTGGGGCAGAATCGCTAGACCCCACTCCATTTGCCACCCACGGCCAGACTGGAGATGCCTGTCTGGCAGGCGAGACTTGTAAGCCGCTTTAATGAAACAAAAAAATACGGAGACTTTCATGCGCGGTCAAAGTGACGCCACTACCCACATACCGTTTTGTTTAACACGACGTCCCCTGCATTGACGTCACTGGAGCGCTCCAGAAAGTCACTTGAAAGTCGTCCATGTCCCACTAACGAACCTTAAAGCACGCGCATAGAGGGGGGCGGGGGGGGGGCTCAGCGTTCCACACGCGCGCGGCACCCAGAGACACGGAGATGTGGTGGGTTGTGGCGAAGAGCTGCTACGTTCATGTTCTGGGTGGCGTCTCGCTCCATACGCCGGGACCGCGGCACGGGCGCTCCGCTCTCCTTGATCCCCCCCCACCCGCCCCTCCCTCTCCTCCTCCCACCTATGCACTCAACCCCCCACCTCACTCCCCTCCACCCCCCCCACAACAAACCCCACGTACCCCGCATGCTCCCGCCGGCCCGACACGCACACTCGCCACCGCACGCAACGGCACTCATGCGCAAAGGCAGGGGCTGTTGTAAATTCCAGGTGAGGCGTCTTTTATTTGATCTGACGCCTGGAACCCGCGACCTCCCCGTGACGCCGTGCGGACGGCGTGGAGCCGTGGCCGGTGGGGGGTAGGGGGAGGGGTAAACGTTGGGGTGAAACGGGGGGGGGGGGGAGAGTGGGGGGGAGAGTGGGGGGGCGAGAAGGGTGGAAAGCGTCGCGGTTTTTTTTAAGATCCGCTCAGTTTCCTCTCCCCCCCCCCCACAACGCCCGCTCGCTCCCCTGGCGTCATTCGTTCTTTCCTGTTTTTATTCCGTAGTGCGCTTTTCGCAATCCTTGTGAAAATATTAATTTTCTCCTCTTTTTTTTAGAGGGAGTGGAGTGGGGGGGTCGAGAGAGAGAGAGAAAAGAGAGACAGGGGAGAGAGAAAAGAGAGAGAAAAGAGAGAGGGGATAGAGAGAGAGGAGAGGGAGTGAGATGATCACAATTCACCCCGTTGGCCGCAGCCGCCGCGCGAAGGCGCGCGCATGCGTGACGCGTGGCCCTGCAAGACCGGCTCGGCCGGGTGTGGGGGGGGGGCGGTGGGGGCCGGGTGGGTGAGAGCGGTGGTGGGGGGGAGATGGCAGCAGTTGAGTGATGCGGGGCGGCTGCCGGGCGCGGTGAGTCAAGGCGAGGCGGGGGGGGCGCGGAGCTTGAGCCGCGACGTCGGGTGGCGCGGAGCCCGGGCTTCCGTCACGCGTGGTGGAGCCGCGCGGCGTGGGGGGTGGGGGAGGGAGGGAGGGTGTGTGTGTGTGCGGGAGGGAGACTGCTGTGGGGGGTTGTGTGCGTGGTGGTGGTGGTGGTGGTAGGGGGTGGTGGTGGTGAGTGCGAGCCAGGGGTGGGTGGTGGTGGTGGCGGCGGCGCGCCGGCGCGCGGCTTAAGTTTGGTTATGCTTCAGGAGCCGCTAAAAGCCGCGCTCGGCGCGCCTGGTGGGGTCGTTACCTCTAATCCCCTCTCCTCCTCGCTGGGCGTTACGCAAGCGCCGCCCGCCGCGATCGCGGAAAGGCGCCTGCGCCGCTCCTTTGTTGGCGCCGCTTTGTTGCCACGCGCGCGTGCGCGTGTGCGCGTGCCCGCGAGTGTGTTTGTGTGTGCGGGGGGCGGTGGCGGAGTTGTTAGCGCCCAGTTGAGCTTGCCAACCTGGCCAGCAGTTCGCGCGCACTGCCAGCACCAGTGGCGAATATCAGAACCGATCCTGGGCCTCCCCGAGGTCGAGCCAGCCTCAAATAACGTGTAAACATCGCTACCAGGGAGACAAAGGTGGTCCGTCGTGGTGCTGACCACCCACCCTCTCGTGCCCCGTCCCGGCCTTCATAGGTGCTACTCGCTAACAGCACTTACCCCAAGATTGTGCGTGCTGCTTGCTGGACATGTGAGTTTGTATCTTGAGTGGTGGAGTGTCGCCTTGAGTTTTGCGCGAGTGTTGGTGTGTACGCATGTCCGACCACTTGAGTATGAGCGCACGTTGATGGTGTGAGTCTGTGTGTGTTTGCGTGATGGCTGTGAGGGTGTGTTGGTGCGTGTGTGATGGCTGTGAGGGTGTGTTGGTGCGTGTGTGGGTGTGTTGGTGCGTGTGTGATGGGTGTGAGGGTGTGTTGTTGCGTGTGTGATGGGTGTGAGGGTGTGTGTGATGGGCGTGAGGGTGTGTTGTTGCGTGTGTGATGGGTGTGAGGGTGTGTTGTTGCGTGTGTGAGGGTGTGTGTGTGATGGCTGTGAGGGTGTGTGTGTGATGGCTGTGAGGGTGTGTGTGTGATGGGTGTGAGGGTGTGTGTGTTATGGGCGTGAGGGTGTGTTGTTGCGTGTGTGATGGGTGTGAGGGTGTGTTGTTGCGTGTGTGATGGGTGTGAGGGTGTGTGTGTGATGGCTGTGAGGGTGTGTGTGTGATGGGTGTGAGGGTGTGTGTGTTATGGGCGTGAGGGTGTGTTGTTGCGTGTGTGATGGGTGTGTTGTTGCGTGTGTGATGGGTGTGAGGGTGTGTGTGTAATGGCTGTGAGGGTGTGTGTGTGATGGGTGTGAGGGTGTGTGTGTTATGGGCGTGAGCGTGTGTTGTTGCGTGTGTGATGGGTGTGTTGTTGCGTGTGTGATGGGTGTGAGGGTGTGTGTGTGATGGCTGTGAGGGTGTGTGTGTGATGGGTGTGAGGGTGTGTGTGTTATGGGCGTGAGGGTGTGTTGTTGCGTACGTGTTGGGCTGTGGATGTGCGGACTCCGTCTTGGCCCGGAGACCGCGGTTGGTTTGAAACCCGAGTTGAGATCCCGTGTCATTTTTGCCCGAGGCAGTCTCACTGACACGCACACAGTTACACACGGACACGCACACAGTTACACACTGACACGCACACAGTTACACACGGACACGCACACAGTTACACACGGACACGCACACGCAGTCTCACTGACACGCACACAGTTACACACGGACACGCACACAGTTACACACGGACACGCACACAGTTACACACGGACACGCACACGCAGTCTCACTGACACGCACACAGTTACACACGGACACGCACACAGTTACACACGGACACGCACACGCAGTCTCACTGACACGCACACAGTTACACACGGACACGCACACGCAGTCTCACTGACACGCACACAGTTACACACGGACACGCACACGCAGTCTCACTGACACAAAAGACAAACACTTCGCGGGTCGCCCTAACGGACTGTTGGGGCGTGTACCGTTGTGTGAAGGCCGTAACGGCACACGAGGGGGTGGGTGGCCAGCACCATGCCCGGCCGCCTTTGTCTCCCAAGTGCTCATGTTTACACGCCGCAACAGGTCAACCTCGGGGAGGCCCGTGACCGGTTCAAATATTCTCCGCTGCTATCGGTCGCGGGCGGGAATCGAACTCGGGTCGCCGGCTTTCGTAGCGCAGCGCGCTAACCACTACACCACCGCTCCCCACATACCCCGCAGTACATACCACACACACGCCGACTTATCAATACGTAGAGAGTTGTGTTCTGAACTTGAATAATCAGGAAAAGTTTAGCCTCGAGGGTTTGAGAAGGTCGGCTGGCGGAGTGAGCGTGTGTAGTCTAGGGCTTGCAAGGTGTGGGATATGTTTATATAATGTGCAGTTTTATCGAGGGGCTACTATTGTGTGTTGTCTTGGTGTGGTCTGTGGCTGCTTTTGTTCTTGTTTAGCTGCCTTGCCCCAAGCTTGCATTGACTGTTGAAAACGCTGCAGGAATGTATGGACGTATGCAATTTGCCCTGATATACGTGATTTACTTTTAGTAACATTTTCCATACTTATCTTTGTATGCTTTGTTGTAGCTGACCTGTGTGTACATGTGTAGCGTTGTGCATGTACGTGCAACGCACGTGGCTATCGTGTACATGCATAGCATGTCGTGCGCACCGGATGATTGACATGACAATAACCCCCCCCCCCTTTCTGCCCCCCCCTCCCCCACCACAGAGCGTGCTGTTCGAGCACTAAACAGCTGTGCCCCCCCAGCCCTCACCGCCACCCAAGGCCCCCCGATCCCGGCACGGCGTCCGCGTCATGGAACGTCAACAGAGAACCACCATCGAGCGTCATCGAGCGAGGGCCGACGCCTCTTGGGGGGAGGCAGGGGAGGGGAGGGAGGGGGGTGGAGACGTCGCCCCTTCTCCTCGGCAAACGACGACGCGAGACGTGAATTCCAGCCTAGTAAGCACCCAGCAAACTCACCTCCCCGCACTCGAGACTGATACTTTTTTTGTATAAAAAAAACGAAAAGAAAACAAAATATACCGAGAAGATTTAAATAAAAGACTAAAGACACGAACACTTATCGACGTGGGAGTTGTTGGTGGTGATCATGGCGATGAAGACAAACAGATGTTCACATACATCGTCATCATCATCACACGGAGCCACGGGAGAGGCGAGCACAGCAAAGAATACCAGTAACTAGAACACCAACAACACTACAACAACTACTACAACAACAACAACAACACCACCACCACGGCACCAGCAGCGGCATCTCGACCGCGGGAGTTGTTTCAGCCGAACTCCGCCTTGCCCCCCTCCAGCGCTTAAAGCCGACCGACGTGTGCCGCCCTCGCCCCCACGCTGCCCAGTTTCGGGAGAGCAGTGGAAACCCCGCCTGCCCCCTGCTGTGGCCGCGTGCCTTTAAGAGCCCTCTATCTTTGCCTGCTGCGGGAGGTGGGGGCGGCCGTGGTTGGAGGACGGGGGGAGAGGGGGGGAGGGCGTCCTCCTGTGTGACTCGACAACAAAGCGCCTTTGAAAAACAAAACGGCAGCCACGGCATCGACCACCACCACAACCACCACCAACCAGCACGACTACTGCTGCAACTACTACTGCTGAAAGAGGACGAACTGAGCCCAATTAAGGAGGCTCCGCCCGCGTGGACTCTGCAGCGAGGCGCGGGTGGCGGTGACGGCCACGAGACGCGGTGGCACGCGTGGGGCGATTGGGGAGGATCACTCGTACGCTGTATATATGTGTGTACAGTCCGTGTACATTCACTGTTTTATAGTTGGAAGTCGACGGAGGCCGCCGGAACTGCGGCGATGACGCAGGTTCTCGTGGGTACCATTAGTGAGACGGGATGGGGGGTGGGATAATGTGGGCATGCATTGTGTGTTTGTGGTCTCAGCACCGCAGCATCAGCATCGTCGTCGTGGTCACGCCGCCGCAGCAGCAGCACGCCACGCACAGCGTGGCGATGAGCACGCGCACTGCGCCACCACTGTAGTTCCCGTGGCGAACCGCATCGCACCACGCCGCACACCGCGTTGTGACGACGGCACTGTCACAACGCACGGGATCGCAACACGACGCAGCACGCACACCGTGCGGTGATAACCACGCAACACACAGCAGAGGCACGGCACGACACACAGCAGAGACACGACACGACACACAGCAGAGACACGGCACGACACACCGCAGAGACACGACACGACACACAGCAGAGACACGGCACGACATACAGCAGAGACACGACACACAGCAGAGACACGACACACAGCAGAGACACGACACGACATCGAAACTGCCCAGGCGCGGCGCGTCGCCCGCCCGAAACAGAGCACTTCAGAGGCACCTCGGAACCCGCCTCCCCCCCCCCTTCCCTAAGTGGGGGAGCAGGGGCGGCCCCCCCCCCCCTGAATGTGGACGTGTCTCCAGCTGGAGCCACTCGGATGGAGAAGACGAACGCCTCGATGGCACAACGACCCTGATGTTGTTCACGCGGTGGTGCAGGACGGGGGGGGGGGGGTCCCACCCCCCATGCCCCCTCCCCCCCATGCCCCCTCCCCATCCCCGCACGCAGACACACGACGAGAACTCGCGGCCGAGCATGGGTGAAGCACTTTGCAGCGCCGTGGACGGCAGAGGAAGGCCCGGGGGAAGGCCCCAACCGCCAGGGTTGGCCGCACGGTCTCAAAGCGAAGGACCTGCAACAGAAACGGCGAACGATTGTTGTTTGTGTTCTTGTTGTTGTTGGGTGTCGGTTCTCCGTTATTTTTTTCAAAAGCGCCAATCCGATTAGGCGAGTCACGTTGGAGAAGGAAGGCGCCGTTTAAATCACAAACAACAACAAACAACAGCGACCAGGACAAACAACAACAACACGCTGAGCAATATGGAAACTTATTAAGGATGACTGAAGACAATAACGACAGCTTCGTCAGGGTCATCAATCTCGAGATGACGATCAATTTATAAATAATGATGATTGCACGCGAATCAGACGGGGAGATCGCGCGCGTTGGAGACACGGCGGTCGGTGGCGGCGGAACGGTTCACGACGAGGGCCCCACTCGTCGCCGCTGTCCACGGTCTCCCTCCTCATCCTCCTCTTCCCCCCTCTGAGGCCTGCGTCACGCGCGGAGGAAACTCACCACCACCACCACCGAGCCACGAGCCAGAAATGAATTCGGATTAACCGGAGCCGATACACAACGAGAAGACGCCGAGAGAGAGAGAGACAGAGACGATGAGAAACAACAACAACAAAGACTCGAGGACAAAAATAAAACACCCGAAATTTACTCTGGACACTTTTTTTGTGGAGCCGAGCATCGCGAACTCTGACGAGGGGAGGGGGGGTGTAGGGGGGTAAAGGGGGGGTAGTGCCGCCGCAGGTGACGTCACGGGGCACCTTGCCTGCGCGCGACTCGTGCATGCTGTGTTTTGGACGTTCCCGCGCCGAGGACGCGGGGCCACTTACCGCCGGGCATGCGAGGTAGTGGCGGGCGCGCGCGTGGCGACACCCAGAGAGCGCGCGCGCGCGGGGGGGGGGCGGGGGGGTGGGTTTTGGGGGGGGGGCATCACAGTTGTATCGCGAATGAATGTTAGCGTCATGTAAACAGCCCTTGTCGCGTCTGCCGTCGTTAGTGCTGCGTTCATTCTGGTCTCTCTACGTAAGCGGTACGGTATATTTTGTTATAGACGATATACAGAAAATTACAAAAAAAAAATGGGAAGCAGAGAAATACTTATTGTAATATTAATAATGTTGAAGATAATTAAAAAAACGTCATATTTTTAATTATTTTTGTTCGTTCTTATTTTGCAAGGATTGCGTTTACAGTGGAATAATAATAAAAAAAACTATTAAATAAAGATAATTTTCCTGTGCTATAAAATCATCTGTGTGCTGCGAGATCTGTCGGGAGGTCAAAGTTTACTATCACCCCCCCCCCGCACCATGGGAACGTGGACCGTGCCGAGATCTGCACAGAGTGTGGACGCCCTAGACGCTACCACTAATTCCTTCCCAAGAGGGGGAGTTCGATCTCGGGTCATTCAATGAACGGAGCCTGGAAGTAGCCAATACCGTATACACAGAAACATGTCTTTCTTTAGACTTCCAAAAATTCTGATTGTGCTCTCGGCGTCATAAGCTGAGACCTCAATTAGCTGGGAACTTTGGCGTTGAGTAACGAAACATCGCTCCGTGTTATAGAACGGCCTCCGGAATATGATATCACAGAACTACGTCCGAGATCCTTCAACCCACACGAGGCAGTGACTGCCCTTGCACTCGCTCACATGCCTGCAAACAGTGTTCATCACCACGCGAACATCAAACACGAGTTTAAAAAATATATATCTTTAGTCAGAGGTAAAAAAAACTCGTAAATAGATCACGGTTCAAATTGCATATCCTGGGTGTTTCCGCATTGTGTCGGGGATGAGACCTTCAACTCGTCATACCCGAATCCCCGGTTTAGTCACGGGCGGGCTGGAAGCCGGATTTAAAGCCCAGATGAAAGTCTCCGTGTCCCAGACACGGCCGTGACACGAAGCCCCCAGCCAGCACCACCCAGCCACCACCAACCACTTCCCACGCACAGGGCTCCCGACGGTTCGGGGGGTTTGGGACGCGAGGAATTTGGAAGTGTGTGGATGGTTGAGTGGGGGGGGGGGGTCAGGGTCGTGAGTGGATGTTGTAGACTTGAAGAGAATCTCGAGAAAGGTTCTGCCATGAGGACGTCGCACCTCCGATGAGCACGGGTGGCTACGTACGGTGCGAAAGAAGTCTAACATATAGACGTACTGTAGGCGACGTAGCAGAAGAGTTGGGATTTCCCGTGATGGTCAAATATTTTCAATACTCCCAACTTTTTTTTTATATCTGCAATTAATTCAGCGATCCGAGGTTCATTGTTCGATTGTAGAGCAAAAAAAGCAACAACCCCAACAACAACATCGAGACGTTTAGACAGCCTCTCAACCGACTGTCATCGTAATTACTCCCCAAACCGAGTCGGCCACGACGGTTGTTTGACCATACTTCACCACGAACGTGCGAGCATTGTCGACGAGCGGCAGCAACCAGGCACACGCGGCCCTCATTCGTCTCCCCAGCGCCGACGGCGACACTTGGCACCGAGTGACTCACCTGAGGCTGAGTGGAGCGACAATGTGCGGCCCCAGCACCGGTTCGGATGTCACTCGCCGACGCTCACGTGAGCCGTGACTCGGTGGGCACGGTTCACGGCCCAGAGTGCGCGTGACAATGACAATTCGCACACCCCACCCTGCACAAGGGAAAGCGATCAAAGGCAGCCTCGGAATTCTTCCTTTGGCTCTCACTCCGCACTCAACCACCAATCGTATCGATTCGTACGCTATGAACGCAAAGACAAAGATGCTCCGTATAGCCTCTAACAGACTGTTGGGGCGAGTGCTGTCAGCGAGCACCGATGAAGAGAGCCAGAACGGCGGCACACACAAGGGGGGGGGGGGGGGGGCAGCACCACGCCCGGCCGCCTTTGTTTCCCCAGTGCTGTTGTTTGCACACACCGCACCAGGTGCTCATTTAAGGCCGAGTCGATCTAGAGGAGGCCCACAACCGATTCGGATATTCGCCATTATTATTGGCCGTGAGCGAGAATCAAATTCGCGTCGCCGGCATCGCAGCGCGGTGCGCTCATCACGGCGCCACCACTCCCCACAATAAACACAAACAACAACAACAACAATCACGTCGTCATTTGCCTATATACTGCTGCGAGACGGCCTCCCAACGCCGTGCCGGTCATGGGCTTGTTTGAGCAATCTTCACGGCGCCGGTGGGGTGCTGCGTTGTGAAGGAGGCGCCCAGTGCCTCGTCCAGATTCCACTCGCTGCTGAAGTCACCCATCGCCCGCGATTCGAACTTGGGTCGCCGACTTCATGGCGCAGTGCGGGGACCACTGCGCCACCACTCCCCCTCCCCCAGAATAGCAACTACTACGACAAAGTGGGTCCCGTGGTAATCTACGGGTCTCTACGTTAGTCTGTGTGGCCTGTGTTAGTCTATGGGCCATGTGTGAGTATGCATTCTGTGTTAGTCTATAGGTCGCATGTTGGTCTGTGTAGTCATATGACATAGGGTTCGTGGTTTAAGTGGTAGCAATGGAAATGATCGTGATTACGATTTAACCTGATGGTGATGACACAATGAAGGATGATGATGATGAATGTTGATTTGCGCTGCTGATGATGGCACACGGGTCGATAATGATTCCCGTTTCTATTCATCGCTGCTGCTGCTGCTGCTGATGATGATGATGGTGAAGAAGACGCTGATCTCTACTGCTCCCGCTTGCTGGTGGATATTATTGCTGCCGATGACGATGATGATGATGCCTCCCGTTGCTGCTACTTGCTGACAATGACGACGTCTCATGCTGCTACTTGCCGATGACGAGCGGCAGCAGCAGCTGCGGCTGCTGACGCTACTGCTGCTGCTCGTGATGGTGGTGGTGGTGGCGACTGCGGGGAGGTCGTCTGCCGTGCTCGCATTCCGCGCGCAGCCGCAGCCGCCGCGGCCCCGCGCGCCGAGTCAACACGGCGCGTGGGGGACGAAGCGCAGCGACCTCGGCTGGACCGAGTTTCGCAAACTGCTCCGCGCGACAAGGATGCCGGGGGGGGGGGGTGGCGACGACTGGGATCCCGGGTAAACACGCGCGGAGCTCAGCTGATTCATGAGACTGAGGTCACAGGCGGCTTCCGCCTCCACACTCTCCCCTTTCAATCCCCCCCACACCCCCTCCCCGCGAACTTACCTGGTAGTGTCACCTGCTCTGTGTTCACATCGAGACCCCCCCCCCCGACTCCCCCTCCGCCCGCGCCCTCCACAGCCCCCCTCTCCACCAAGCGCGGCTCTCAGTTGAACGAGCCGCGAATACAAACACGACAAAGAGAAAGATCCCCCCCCGTATAGCCTTTCACAGGCCGTTCGGACAAGTGCTGTTAGCGAGCACTCTCAAGGCCGGCATGGCACGCCTCCGTCTCCACACGCACACATGTGAAAGTGCGCGCACACACACACAGATACAGACCCCCCGTGTAGCCTCGACAGATTGTCGAGGCAAGTGCTGCCAGCGAGCACGCATGGAGGCCGCAGCGCGGTATGAAAGGTTTCACACACACACAACACACACTTTCTCTTACGGTTGAGGTTAGGGTCAAGTTTAGTGTCAGGATAAAGGTCAGGGCTAGGCGCACAGCACTGACCGCAATTGTTGTGTAGGATTCGGGCTCGTGTCAGAATTAGTGGCAGGGTCAGGGGCTGGGTTCGAGTCGCGGTTCGGGTCACTCCTGACCCAGCGCGCTCGAGGTTCAGGCAACAGCGCCACGTGACTGGGCTTTCAGCGCCACTCAATCTGCTTCTGAAATTCCAATCAGTGCCGTTTATTCGATTAAAGTTGTTGGAGAAAATCGATAGGAGGAATACAAAAATCATATGACCTTCAAAACCCTCCATAAAGAAGCGTATCCTGCTGGCGAACTGAATAAAATATTACACGTCCTTTGTAAACATGTAACTTTTTTTTGCGGATGAAATTAAATTTTGGAGAGAAAAAAATTCGCGAATGGGATTGAATTCAAAATCAGCGAATCCACGTCGCAGACTACAATCCCAGGCGCGATCGGAACGACCCCGTGAAAAATACGACACGTGGAAGGTTGATTCAGAATGAGCCGAGCTCTTAAATTTAGATTATTTGAAAAATAAGCGTGGAATCATTCAGCATTCGTGCAGTGAGCCCAGAGCTCACCCGAACCTGCGAGACGTACGGAAGACAAAGATCCCCCGTGTAGCCTGCACACGATGTTGGGACAAGGGCTGTTCGCGAGCACCTAGGAAGGACAGCATCGCTCACGACGAGGAGGTGGTGTGGGTTAAACCATACCCGGACGTCTTTGTCTCTCCCCAATCCTCACACACCTCACAGAGCGTGAGTCGAGCTATGAGGGGGAGGACCCAGGCCTGGACCGGGTTAGGTGTTCGACACTGACGTTGGCCGTGAGCGCAGTGCGCTGACCACTGCACTGCGGCAGCCAGCGTTACACACAGCAAGTGAGACCCACAGGCACATTCCAGAGACACGGCGTTGTACGAATACACAGAGAGACAGGCAGGCGCAATCATAGCACTGGGCAGCGTTACACGGACTCAGTTGGACACCGCGAGATAGAAAGTTCTACTCGGTCAGGAGCAGAGGCAAAGATAATATCCATTTACGCTGGCACAGACAGGCAGGTAATAAGTCATCATATGTAGACAATCAGATATACGTACTGACACTGAGAAGAACAAACAGGAAGGCAGATAAACACTCAGATAATGGCAGAGACACGATGAGACGGTCAGACACGCGTAAATGGCCAGACACGATGAGACAGAAACAATGGTGCGGTCAGACAGAATTTGGGACAGTGAGACAGTCAGAAGGAACGACAGAATGAGAGAGTCGGACTCGACGAGACATTCAGACAGACACTGGGACACGACGAGGCAGTCAGAGGGAGCGATAGAACGACAAAGAGACGCGCGTGCACAGCGCTCCATGCGCGTGCCCCACGTTCCGCACGCGCCCGTTGCTTCTCCCACGCGCTCTATGCTAATGCACGAATTCCCGCCGCATTAATTATGCTAATGGTAGCTGATTAGCACTCCCGAGGGAACCGGGGGGCGGGGTGGCGGTGCGCGTGATGGGTATTAATGAGAAGGGGCGGGGGGCGGCTGTTCGCTGCGCCGCAATTGGGGGGCTCCTTTCTTGAGCCACGCGCTGCGAGGTGCCCCTCCCGGCGCGAGGCACGGAAGGGCTCAAGGCGCAGGAATTGATGGGATGGAGGCACGCGGCTGTGG